CCTTGGCCTTCACAACATCCTCTGGCAAACAGTTCCACAGGTTGACTGCGTTGTGTGAAAAAATACTTCCTTTTGTTTGTTTTAAATCTGCTGCCTATTAATTTCATTTGGTGACCCCTAGTTCTTGAGTTATGAGAAGGTATAAACAACACTTCCTTATTTACTTTCTCTACACCAGACATGATTTTACAGACCTCTTCATATCCCCCCTTAGTCGTCTCTTTTCCAAGCTGAAAAGTCCCAGTCTTATTAATCTCTCCTCATATGGCAGCTGTTCCATACCCCTAATCATTTTTGTTGCCCTTTTCTGAACCTTTTCCAATTCCAATATATCTTTTTTGAGATGATGTGACTACATCTGCACGCAGTATTCCAGATGTGGGTGTACCATGGATTTATATAGAGGCAATATGATATTTTCTGTCATATTATCTATCCCTTCTTAATGATTCCCAACATTCTGTTAACTTTGACTGCCGTTGCACATTTGAGTGGATGTTTTCAGAGAACTATCCACAAAGACTCCAAGATCTTTTCTTTGAGTGGTAACAGCTAATTTATACCCCATCTTTTATATGTATAGTTGGGATTACATTTTCCAATGTGCACTACTTTGCATTTATCAACATTGAATTTCATCTGCCATTTTGTTGCCCAGTCACCCACTTTTGTGAGATCCTTTTAAGGCTCTATGTATTTTGCTGCCCCAAGCACGGCAATCAGGCGGCTTTCGGCAGCATGCCTGCGGGAGGTCCGCTGGTAACGCGGATTTGGTGGCATGCCTGCGGGAGGTCCCCCGGCTTTGGTGTACCTGCCGCCGAATTGCCGCCAAAGCCGCGGGACCGGCGGACCTCCCGCAAGCATGCCACCGAAGGCTCCCTGACTGCCGCCCCCACAGCGACTGGGGGAAGCTCACTGAAACATGGAGCAGAGTGCGATTGAGGGGAGGGGCAGCTGCCAGGTATGGTTGGGGGTGCAAGATGCTGCCAGGTGACTTGGGGTGAGTATAAGGCTGGGGGCACTATTGGATGGTATAGGAAGTAATCACAACAAACGCTTCCAAAATGCATTTTTTGAATGTTAAAATCTAAAAAGCTGTCTAAGAGCTTCCCTGGGCCGAAATGGCTGCTGGACCCCCACTGAAAGGTGTCCCCTCCCCACCACCGAAATGGCATCCCTAGGAGCAGAGGAGAAGGAAGTGGGGGGAGGGGTGCGCACACACACACTCTATTATTGGTGAGTCACAATAAGAGACAAAAGGTAGCTGGAGGATCCCTTTGTAAGAACGTTGGGAACCACTGCTCTAGGTGCCCTGTGGCACTGCACACATTTCATATACAGCTCTAATTAATCCTCATTGCACAGAGCATTAGTGTGCACTCACTTGAATTCTGAGGAGTGATTGTCCAGCAAACCAAGTTTGTTCAGCTCTTCATCAATCACTTCCATGACATGTTTTGGCACTACCAGATCCTTGAGCCGCTCTCGGAATTTCTCCTCTATGGCATCTTTGTCCTCCTTCTCTAGGCCTAGCTCTTTCTTGATAATCTTCAGCTGCTCTTGGAGAAGATACTTGCGATGAGTCTGCTTGATCTTCTCCTCAACCTAGACACAATGTGTACGGTAACTTTAACCTGTTGCAACTAACGCCCCCCGCTCCCCTGACCCAACACCATACGCCTCCAACCACTTTCCAAAGAGATCTGAATGAACTGGGAATTCCCCAGCAAGAGAAGATACAAATACCCCTTGGAAACCACTTGCAGTGTAGCTCTACTCTAAGGCTCGAAGAAGTGACCAAGAGTAGCATTGTGGAGTCTCACATTTATTGCATTTCAATTATTTCTTTGTCACATGCGCTCAAGTTTACAAGTAAAGATGGCTCCAGCAACTTAACAAGGCATCATCTATTTCTCAGCTCTTGGAACTAGAACCGAGGCCCTTTCAAAGCTCCAATATCTAGAACACACCCCTCTTACCCTTCTTGCATGTTTTGTAAAAGTCAGTCACATACAACTCACTTTATCAGGAAATGGCACAAGTATTGGCTTTGCTGCTCAGGTATTAAAGATTATTTTTTTTTTCAATAACTGGAGTCACATTGCTTTAATTTCATCTTATTTTTAAAAAGGAACATTAGGAATCATTAGGATTCCTCCCTTGAGTGTATATTATTTTAAAAAACAATTGTATTGTTTTCAGCGTGTGTACACAATTCTTCATTGAAATTAAAGCCATAGAATATTTACATGTGCAATATGAAGTTTTGGTAAATTAAAAGTGACGTATACCTGTCAAAAGTATACATAAAGTACTACACTTCCTTCAATTTCTGTCTACTTTCTCATAGAATCATAGAAGATCAGGGTTGGAAGGGACCTCAAGAGGTCATCTAGTCCAACCCACTGCTC